GTCTTAATTGACCTTGGAAGGCTAGGGCCAAAACGTTGGCTTTCCTTGTGGCCCTCCTTTTTCTCTAATTTTGATCTGCAAACTTAGGCTGTTAACCCTCCAGAAGAGAAGCTTATTGTTATTACTGATAGGTTTCAGAGGCAACAGCGATGGCGGCCGTGTTGGTGGTGCAGCAGAGAAGCAGAAATGGGGGAGAGAAAGCCTTTACTGACTCTAAACAGATGGAGAGGACTGAGGGCAGGGAGATGGGTGGATCCTCTAACCTGAGACAGGGAGCCTGGGACTCTATGGACTTCTGCCAGGGACGGAGCGTGAGGGGCGGGTTTAGTGACGTGTACGAAGCTGACTGGAGGCTCCCTTGTGTGGGCGGGAAAGGAGCTGATTGGAGGCTACCTTGTGTGGTCAAAGGGAGTTGTACCCAGAGCTGGAGTGGGGGAGGAGGAGCAAGTGGTCCTTGGGAAAATAAGCTATTATTTTAAGGGCTTCAGCCATTTTGGATGACCACCATAATAATTCAGCAATTCTTAGTAGGGCCATAGCCTATCAATTACCATACCTCCTAGGCTGTTAAGCTTAACCACTATCTGTCTGAATATCAAACATCTTAGGCATAACATGGAACGGGGATTTTTTTTTTCCAGACCATGCTTATTTTTATATCAGTTCTGATATGTAAATACCACGTGTCAAGTTTATATAACATTTACCCATTACATATACAGAAACAGTATAACACGACACCATGAGCACGACTCATACAGTGGTCTTGCAAATATGGGGAGGAGCTGACGGGGGAAGGAACCAGTTATTACATTAAATGCCAAACACTGTGTGCCGTTTCATGTAGCCTGAATCCACCCCATGAGGATCTGTAGGGGGGAAGTTGTATTACTTCTCCAATATTCTTTTTTTTTTTTTTCACAGCTGATTAATGGGACAGTTTTGATAGTCAATACACTGTACATTGTTATCTTCTTAGTGGTTATCCGTAGTACAAGAAGTAGACAGGATATTCTGTCCAAACACTGTTAGTACACCTCTTTCTTCTCATAGAATTAAGCAAAAG